CGTCCACGGCGCGGGAGCAGGAGTCGCGGCGCGCGAGGGCGCAGTTCGAGCAGGCTCTGGACGCCACCGAGATGGAGCGCGCGGCCCTCCCGCCTTCGTGCGCCCGCCGCCGCCAAAAGGGCGGCGGGTGCTGTCGGGGTGGGGGCGGGGGGCACGCGGTGGGGGTGAGGATGGAGGAGGGAGATGAGGAGCTCCTTTGCACCTTTCCTTTTGCCCGGCTTTTTTCCGCTGCGCCCGCCAGGTTATTTGCTAGTTCCATTGCGCTAGGTCGTTTGTCTTCAGCCGCCAGTCGCCACGATCATCCGATTCAGGTCTGCGCTGGCTGCGAGTCGTGCGTCCTCCCCGACTCGGTTGGCGATTGCGCCATGGGCATTCGGACTCAAGGGTGGGCTGTCCACTGGGCTTGCATGCGCACGGCATCGGGAAGGCATGTTATTTCGAACTGCCTCTCAGCATCGCATCACGCTACATATTTGCCTCAAGGATTTCTTACTGTACACACGTTCGCGTTCTGATTATTATCAGTGGATCGGTTATTTGCAGGGAGCTGTAAGTTGTACGCTAACATGGAAGGCTGTCCCATTCGTAGCGGAGCAGCGGTTCGGCAGGCTACATATTTCAGCTAGCAGATATGATGGCAGGTAATGATTGCGTGCAGAAGTTGGATAGAGTTCTTAGCCCCTGGCGGTCGCCGCCTCAGAGCACGGGGGGGAGGAATGTGGACGATGGCAAGGGAATGGAATGGAATGGAATGGCCCTATCGCGAAGCGAAGTGACACGACCGCATCGCCGACCGGTGGTGGAAATCAGTCCCATCAAAGGAGGGCCGCGGTCCCGACCGGGGCACCTCCGCCTGGCAGCCCGCGATGAGCGATGAGGTATCCCGCGCTGCGCTCGCCCGCCCGGCGGCCGTGCGCCCGTCGCCGTGCGGCACGGGGGGGGGGGGGAGGGGGACGGGGCGCGGCGGTGGGCCAAGGCAGGGCAGCAGGCTGTGCGCCTGCGGTCGGAGGCTCCACGGCCCGTGGGCCGGGCCAGGATGGGGGAGGGAGATGTGGGGGCACCAGCAGGTACTTCATTAGTGAATTTAATTGGTTTTTGGGTTTTAACAAATGGTCGCAGCCACGCAGAGAGCGTGCGTAGCGACGCCCCAAATGCTCGGTCTCCAGTACTTCTGCGTGGCGGCGCCCCCGCAGGCACGCAGAGGGCACGCGTGGCGACGGGGGCGTCGCCACGCAGAGCTTCTAAAGACCAAATATTTTAAAAACCAATTGTTTCCACTACCAAAGTACCCAATACCGAAACTCCCCCGACCTCTCCTCGGGTGCGTTCTGGCCAGGACTTCGAGGCGAGTCCAGCGGTGGCGACGAGGGCCTCCCAGGAGGCCCAGAGAGGGGGGAAACCGAGGGAAGGGTGGCGGTACGGGTACCTGTTCCTCCGAAGATTTGGAGGCTGGGCGCGCTGGAGGCTTGCCGCCCACTTCACCAGCAGAGCGCCCATTTTTTAACCAGATGACAGTGCTCGGCTGCTCGGCTGCGTGGTGCGTGAGCGCGGCCAGCACGCAGGCGCTGCCTCCGATCGCCCCACGCTTTGCTCTGGGGAGGGGGCGGACAAAGGCAAGGCAGCAGTCTGTGAGCCTGCGACTGAGCGACCCACAGCGGGCCAGCCGCAGCCCTTCGAAGCGAGGAGGAGCACTCGGACGTGATCCCGCAGCCCGCAGCTTGTCGTCGGGCGCCAGGCCCGCCAGGCCAGGACAGCGGCAGGAGGGGGGACGGAGTGGCGAAAGCCAGGGATACGCGAACGACGTCCAGGTGTCCAAGAATGCGTTGTGAAAGGAATCCTCAGGGCATGCTCGAAGGCCCGCAAAGGAACGTTGTAAGAGCCTTCTCTGCAACAATCGCGACAATCTAGCACCACAGAGGAAACATCAAGGAACAGCCCATTGGATACGCAACGGGGCCTTTCCACTGGATTGTTCTCAAGAAGCCTTCCACCGGATGTAGCAGAAAAGACTGTCGCATGAGAGTGTCACGAACTACACCGCTGGATGAACGCAACGGTCCGCGAAATACGACCAAACAGCTCCGCTCAAAGCCATAGCGCGTCTGCCTTGCTTGTCCTGTGGGCCTCTGCCAGGCTTAGTTGGGAGCCCTGCGAGATAGCGCTCGACTGGCGGCCGCCACCTCGGCTGAGCCGCCTGCGGACATCGCCTCGAGGGAGGAGGAGGGGGAGGTTTGAGGAGGAGGAGGAGGAGGAGGAGGAGGAGGAGGAGGAGGAGGAGGAGGAGGAGGAGGAGGAGGAGGAGGAGGAGGAGGCGGAGGAGAGGAGAGGAGGAGGAGGAGGAGGAGGAGGAGGAGGGAGGGAGGGAGGGAGGGAGGGAGGGGGGGAGGAGGAGGAGGAGGAGAGGGGAGGAGGAGGAGGAGGAGGAGGAGGAGGAGGAGGAGGGAGGAGGGAGGAGGAGGAGGAGGAGGAGGAGTAGGAGGAGGAGGAGGAGGAGGAGGGGAGGAGGAGGAGGAGGAGGAGGTGGAGGAGGAGGAGGAGCGGAGGAGAGGAGGAGAGATGGAGATGGATGATGATGATGATGATGATGATGATGATGATGATGATGATGATGATGATGATGATGATGATGATGATGATGATGAGGATGAGGATGATGATGAAGATGATGATGACGATGAGTATGATGATGATGATGAGGATGATGATGATGATGATGATGATGATGCTGATGCTGATGCTGATGATGCTGCTGCTGCTGACGCTGACGCTGCTGCTGATGATGATGATGATGATGGTGGTGGTGATGATGATGACGAGGAGGAGGGAGCGTAGGAGGAGGAGGAGGAGGAGGAGGAGGAGGAGGAGGAGGATGGGGAGGAGGAGCATGATGATGTTGTTGATGATGATGGTGATGATGAGGATGAGGATGCTGATGATAATGATGTGATGATGATGAGGACGGTGCTGATGATAATGCTTATGCGGATGTTGATGCTGATGCTGATGCTGACGATAATGATGATGATGATGATGATGATGATGATGCTGATGCTGATCCTGATGCTGATGACGATGACGATGACGATGATGATGAGGATGATGCTGATCGTGATGCTGATAATGATGTGGTTGTTGATGATGCTGATGATTATGGTACTGGTGATGATGACGACGATGATGCTGATGCTGCTGATGATGATGCTGCTGCTGATGATGATGAGGACGAAAACGATGATGATGACGATGGTGATGATGATGGTTTTGGTGGTACTGATGATGGTGATGATGTCGGTGATGCTGCTGATGATCATGTGGTCGTTGATGATGTTGATGATGGTGATGATGATGAGGAGGCGGATGAAGCTGATGATGCTGATGCCGATGTTGATGATGATATTGATGATGCTGATGCTGATGATGTTGGTAACGATGATGATTATGACGAGAATGGCGCTGCTGCTGATGATGATGCTGATGGTGCTGCGTTGGCACCAAACATTTCTCGGTCACGGAAGAGCGAAGAGACAGACGGGAGCAAGCAAACGACAGACGTGAACTACTTCGGCAGCGGGCTGACCTTCGAGACGGACGACAACATGCAGATGAGGCCGGCCTGCAAGACATCGGGCGCCAGCTAAGGGAGCTCCCAGCCGCACTCAAAGCCCAGCGACGAGCAGATAATGATGCATGCAGAGAAGAGTTCGTGAACTTAGTGGCTGAAAGTTGGGAGAAGAGAAAGTTCGCGGACGCGATGAAGTATTGGAGATTGGCAGCACGATGTCGGTTTGGAGCTAAACATAGATGATCGCAGGTTTGGACCTTTGCCTTCAGAGAGTGCCGATTGGATGCAGCAGTGGAGCAGACCTGGTCGAGAAGGCGGCGCGGGAGCGGTGGCATTAGATTGGGGGAACTGGCGACGGCAACGAGACGGACTACCACCACCCCCAGAGGCTACGGCACAGATGGAGGAACAGGCGAGCAAGGACGTGGGGAACATCGCGAGGTACGTGAGAAAAAGGCACCGAAACGGAAGGTGGTGCCACCAGACACTGCGCCCTTGGAGTTTTGGGACCTGGCCCGCAACGCGAAAGAGGAGACAACCAAGCAGAAGTTGGGGCTGGGCTTCGAGAAGCAGGTCGGTGACCAGATGCTGTTCAGGAGGGTGCTTTTCCACGGGATCCTATGGATGAGAAGGACAAGTTTGGTACCTCTGTACAGGCATATGAGCAAAGCGGTGGGCTTAGACAAGCAGAATGGCAAGGCGGCGGCAGCAGGGAGAAGAGTTACCCATTGCCTGGCCAGTATGGTAAAGCGTTCTATTCGAAGAAATTAACCTTCCACTCCGTCGCCGCAGGGTTAATGCTTCGTGCAAGGGCGGCGGCGAGAAGGATCGATCATGACATCTCAAGTACTCAGTTGGCGTTTGGCGCATGGGGGATGGAGCTTCGCAGTCACAATGAAGGACCCCCAGAATGCGTTCAGCTCGGTGAGGTGGCAAGCGCTGGACAAGTCAGCTGAGGAGAACACGGACGCACAGGATGAGGACTTGTGCAAGCAGAGGTACAGGGATATGGTCGTGGACTTGCCCACGCCAGAGGGGGTCCACGCAGTGAAGGTCGGCGACGGCTTGATGATGGGTGACCAATTCAGCGTAGATTCGGAAAGATGGACCGCCCGACTACGAGAAATACAACCCGCGGAAAATCTCTTGGTCTGCGAGTGGGATGGTATGCCAAACATCGATCTCGGGCTTCACCTGTGCGCTGACGACCTTAGCAGGCACCGCCTACTTGTTATTGGGACGACGATGAAGGACATGGTGGACACGGGGCGAGGAGCTCGACGGGGCGCTGGGGGAGGTGGGCATGAGACGGAGAGGCAGGGCGTTGGCTCCGCGGAGTGCGAGAGGCGGTTGAAGCTGAAGGGCCAGGGCGAGCGCGGCATTCAGGGCGATATTAACGACGTCGCGAGGTACCTGGGCCCCCCACATTGCCCCCAAGTGCACAGCAGAGTTCGAGATTCCGAGGCGGTGCGAGGCGGCGAGGACGGCCTTCTACTCGATGGGCGCGTTCTGGATCTTATCGACACCATGGCGATGGAAGAGAGTGGTATTCCAGGGAGCAGTGATGGGAGCGATCCTGTCGGGAATGGGGTGCTTCATGCTTTCTGAGGCTCAACGCCGGCGATTAGACCGCTGCTTGGCCAGTCTTGTGCGCATTGCGATGGCAGGCGGAGCAACTCAGCGGCTCGACGGTGGCGGCGTGGAAAGCACGGCGACGGGGCAGGTGCCGGCGTGCCGGAAGCTGGCGGATACGAAGACAGAGTTATTGGTGCGCAGGCTGAGGTTGTACCAGAGTTGGGCTCGACGACATTGGCATCGCGCGCGGCTGCTCTCCGCGCTCTTCGTTGATCTACCTGGCATCAACGCTGTGGCGCCCTGCACGGATCATGGGCTTTTGCGGTCTGCATCTCCGTGGACAGCGCGAGGGGGGACAGACGTGGCCGAAGCAGACAACGCGATGGAAGACGACGCCGAGGACCTGGGGGATCTCAGTCAGGCACGTTGGACACTGGAGGCAGACCGTGATTTGGCCAAACAGTTTGTGCTATTGGATTTTGCTAAGGTGCGTGCGAGCAAGCACGCGGTATCTGTGCCACCTCCAGGGGCGCAGCAAGCCGAGCGGGCATCAGACCACGCCGGCGCAGATCACGACGAGGAAGACTGCTTGAGGAACATAGTCGTATGCGGCGTGAGACTGGAAGACGGCAGCCTTTGCATTGAGAGGTTCCCGACGCGCAGGCAGCTGCTGCGCCATCAGCGTAGCGCGCATGATGTTCGAAACCTGTGCCACATTCTGACAAAGAACAGCCGGTGCGTCGTCTGTGAGCGGATATTCGTGGGACAGAGGTCAGCAGCAAAGCATCTGGAGAGGAGTGTGCAGAGGGGATGGCATGGAAGGTGTGAGAGCAGAGCTATTCGGGCACTGCAAGTTCCTGTGTCGTTCTCGTGCGACCTGTGCGAGTTTGAGGGTGGGAGCTGGGGCGACTTCACTGCGGATAAACCTGGGCAGCGAAGCGATGGCAGACGACGTCGGGATGCCAGGCTGAAGCGAGGTGCGGACCCGACTGGGCCCCCTGGATCGGATGGGGCACGACCGCCCATGGAGAACAAGCTGAAGGGAAAGGGCGGCGGCGATGGCGGGAACCATGGTGGCGGCGGCAGGGGCGCTGGAGGCATGGCCGACCTGTGCAAGGCGACGGCGAAGCTCTATGGCAGCGGCGAGGCAGGTGGCGGCTCTGGAGGCGCGCGTCTACGACAACGCTGGCAGTCAGCGAGGCCAAGGGCATGCTGGGCGAGGAGCTGGTGCGAGGAGGGCAAGAGTGCGACGCGGAGAGCAAAGAGATGAAGGCCGGGCAGATCAAGGGCGAGGCAGTAGATTTCAAGACGCGGGGCAGCCCTTGCATTCGCATCTCCTGCAAAGCGGTGCTTTGGGCAGTGGGGCGGACGGGGCCGCGGAGCGACGCGGCGACCCAGAACCCGACGGTGCACAATATTCTCATGCTGTGCTGGAAGGAGCACGTGATGGTGAGGTCCCCCAAGCAGCTGGAGTACGATTGCTTCCAGTTCCATTGCCGCAAAAGCAGGGCGGGCGACGACAAAGAGGAGAAGGGCGGCGTACTGTCGATGGCCTTCGCGAGGCAGGGGGCGGGCTCAGTGGTGGGGCCCACCTTGTGGACGTGCATCAAGGAGCTGGGGGCGCTCGCGGGCGCGGCTCCACGGGGGCCACTCGAACGCGAGGCGTCGAAGTGCCTGGCGGCGGTGACGGGAAAGGCAAAAGGGGGCCTGAGTGGACTTGAGTGCAACGAGAGGCTGCGCGACTTGATTTAGCGGGGGTTTGTCCCGCCCAGCGTGCTGACAGGAAAAGGGGCGGGCCGAGCATTTCAGACTTGTATATCGCCCCTGCTTCCGCATATTCCTGTGGCTGTGCTGCCTAGAAGAGGAGGAGGAGGAGGAGGAGGAGGAGGAGGAGGAGGAGGAGGAGGAGGAGGAGGAGGAGGAGGTCGGGACCGTAGTCGGGGGGGTCGTGGTCGTGGGAGGGCGGGGAAAGGAAACGGCGAGGGCCAGCCAGGGTAGGAGTGGCTTGGTTCACCGCGCAGTGGCTTTGGGCGGGGGGCTGCTGGTCGGATGCCGTTCGGGGCCCGACTATCAGTGCCTGCCCAAGGCCGAGGCGGGGCGAGCTGAGCCGAGAGTTTCGGAGGGTGGTCCTCCGAAGTGGGGTGCCCACGTGCCTGCGCGCCGATACGGGTGGGCCGCCCTGCATGGAGGCAGCGCGGGCCTGGGCCCGAGTGGCCAGGCCTCGGAAAACAACAAAACATCATTGTTTTCTGTCCGCTCGCGAAGAGCGATGCTCCAAGGCCCTGGTCTTTCAAGAGCCGCCTTCTAGAAGACCGCCCCAATGGAGCTATTCGATTCGATTCGATGGTGCTGATGCTGATGATGATCATTGTGATTATGATGATGATGATGGTGGTGATGATGCTGATGCTGATGGTGCTTATGACGACGATGATGCTGATGATGTGGCTGCTGATGATGACGATGGTGATGATGCTGGTGCTGGTGATGATGGTGACGATGCTGGTGATGATAATGATGACGAGGAGGATGAGGAGGGGGGATAATGCGGAGGAGGAGGGGGAGGAAGAGGAGGAGGGAGAGGAGGAGGAAGATTAGGAGGGGGAGGACAACGAGGAAGAGGGGGAGGAGGAGGAGGCGGAGGAGGAGGAGGAGGAGGAGGAGGAGGAGGAGGAGGAGGAGGAGGAGGATGACGAGGAGGACGAGGAGGAGGATGAGGAGGAGTAGGAGGAAGAGGAGGTGGAGGAGGAATAATGAGGATGAGAAGGACGAGGAGGAGGAGGAGGAGGAGGAGGAGGAGGAGGAGGAGGAGGAGGAGGAGGAGGATGAGGAGGATGAGGATGAAGTTGGCGGAACACATGGGCAATGGTGACGATGAGGAGGTGGAGGAGCAACAGCATGATGATGTGGAGCATCAGAATGGCGCGGACGAGGAGGTGAAGAAGTGGATGCAGAGGATGATGAGGAGGAGGCGGAGGAACAGAAGGAGGAGGAGGTCGAGGAAGAGGATGATTATGATGCTGATGCTGGTGTTGATGATGATGATGATGATGATGATGATGATGATGATAATGATGATGATTATGTTGCTGATGACTATGATGATCCTGATGGTGGTGATGATAATGCTGATGCTGACCATGATGATGATGCTGATGATGGTGATGATGATACTGTTGCTGATGATGCTGCGGCTGATGCTGATGAGGGTGGGATTGGTGATGATGGTGATGATGCTGATGATGGTGATGGTGCTGATGGCAATGATGATGACGACAATGCTGATGATGAGGATGATGCTGCTGATGACGATGCTGATGATGATGCTTCTGCTGATGATGATGCTGACCATGCTGTTGCTGATGGTGATGCGGATTCTGCTGACGATGCTTATGATGTTGGTGATGTTGATGCTGGCGATGATCGACAATGATGATGCCGATGTTGATGCTGCTGATGATGATGACGATGACCATGTTGATGATGATGCTGATGATGCTGATGATGTTGACGATACTGCTGATGGTGATGCTTGTGATGATACTGATGATGGTTATGATGCTGAGGGTGATGATGATGCTGATGATGATGATGCTGAGGATGATGATGCTGATTGTGCTGATGATGATGATGATGATGATGATGATGATGTTGGTGATGACAATGTTGATGATGCTGCTGCTGATGGTGACGGTGATGATGCTGCTGATGATGCTGCTGATGATGTTGGGACTGATACTGATACCGATGATGATGCTGATGATGTTTGATGCTGATGCTGATGATGCTGCTGACGATGCTGATGCTGCTGACGATGCTGGCGATGATGATGCTGATGATGATGATGCTGATAATGATGATGATGATGATGATGATGATGATGATGATGATGATGATGATGATGATGATGCTGCCATTTATGATGGTGACAAGTGTGCCGATGCCGATGCTGATGATGATTGTGATGATGGTCATGATGATGGCGATGCTGATCATTCTGATGCTGTTTATGATGATGATGCTGATGCTGATGATGCTGATGCTGATGATGCTGATGCTGATGATGATGATGAATGATGATGAGTTGATGCTGATGCTGCTGATGATGCTGTTGATGATGATCATGATGATGATGCTGATGCTGATGATGTTGATGATGACGGTGCTGACGACGATGATGATGCTGCTGCTGATGATGATGCTGATGATGATGATGATGATGATGATGATGATGATGATGATGATGATGAGGAGGAGGAGGAGGAGGAGGAGGAGGAGGAGGAGGTGGAGGGGAGGAGGAGGACGAATAAGAGGAGGAGGAACAGGAGGAGGAGGAGGAGTAGGAGGAGGCGGAGGAGGAGGAGGATGAGGAGGTGGAGGAGGAGGAGGAGGAGGAGGGAGGAGGGAGGGGCGGAGGAGGCGGAGGAGGAGGAGGAGGAGGAGGAGGAGGAGGAGGAGGAGGAGCAGGAGTAGGAAAAGGATGAGGGGGAGGAGGAAGACAATAATGACGAGGAGGAAGAGGAGGAGTAGGAGGTGGAGACGCAGAGAGGAGGAGGAGGTGGATGATGAAATACATGATGCTAGTCCGGCTGATGATGATGCTGATGATGCTGCTGATGATGATGATGATGATGATGCTGAATCTGATGATGAGGATGACGATGATGATGCTGAGGATGCTGATGATGCTCATGATGATGCTGATGCTGCTGACGATGATGCTGCTAAATATGATGATACTGTTGATGATGATGCTGATGATGCTGATGATGTTGACGATGCTGCTGCTGATGAGGATGATTCTGCTGATGCTGAGGATGATGCTGATGCTGATGATGACGATGACGATGATGTTTCTGATGGTGGTGATTGATGATGCTGACGCTGACCATGATGGTGATGATGATGATGATGATGATGATGATGATGGTGATGATGCTACTGATGATGATGCTGCTGCTGATGCTGATGATGCTGATGCTGATGATTATGGTAGTGAATATAGTGCTGCTGCTGGCGATTGTGATAATGATGCTGACGATGCTAATGACGATGATGATGCTGATCATGTCGGTGATGACGATGCTGATGATGTTGTTGCTGCTGGGGATGATGTAGATGTAGATAACGATGCTTATGATGATGCTGATGATGATGATGCTGATGATGACGATGACGAATATGATGATGATGATGATGATGATGATGATGATGATGATGATGATGATGATGATGATGATGATGATGATGATGATGATGATGATGATGATGATGACGATACTGGTGGTGATGATGCTGATGCTGATGCTGATGTTGATGCTGATGCTGATGATTATGATGATGATGATGATGATGATGATGATGATGATGATGATGATGATGATGATGATGATGATGATGATGATGATGATGATGATGATGGTAATGAGGGGGACGACGAGGAGGAGGAGGAGGAGGAGGAGGAGGAGGAGGAGAAGGACGATGAGGAAGAGGAGGAAGAGAAGGAGGAACAGGAGGAGGAGGAAAAGGAGTAGGAGGAGACGGAGCAACATGAGGTGGAGGAGGCGGAAGAGGAGGAGGAGGCGGAGGAGGAGGAGGAGGTTTAGGAGGAGGAGGAGGATGGGGAGGACAAGGAGGAGGAGGTGCAGGAGGAGCAGGAGCAGTAGCAGGAGCAGTTGCAGGAGCAGGTGCACGATGATGCTGCTGCTGATGATGATTCTGCTGATGATGATGCTGATGGTGCTGATGATGATGCTGATGATGATGACGATGATGATGATGCTGATCTTGATGATGATTATGATGATGATGCTGATGATGATGATGATTCTGATAACGATGATGATGCTGATGATGATTATGATGATGACGATGATGATGCTGATTATGATGATGCTGATGATGATAGTGATGATGATCATGACGATGATGATGACGATGCTGATGCTGATGATGATGATGCTGCTGATGATGATGCTGTTGATGATGATGCTGATGATGATGATGATGATGATGATGATGATGATGCTGATGCTGTCGATGATGATGATGATGATGCTGATGATGATGGTGAGGACGATGATGATGATGATGATGATGATGATGATGATGATGAGGAGGAGGAGGAGGAGGAGGATGATGATTATGATAGTGGTGATGGTGATGGTGATGGTGATGGTGATGGTGATGGTGATGATGATGATGATGATGATGATGATGATGATGATGATGATGATGATGATGATGATGATGATGATGATGATGATGATCGTCAGGTGAGGGGGTGAGATCGAAGTGGAACGGAGAGCCCCCCTACCGGGAAATGGGATTCGGTTTCGTGTTCGTGCGTGCCGTGCGTGCGGGCGAGGCGAAGCTGCGTGGGCGGGCGAGAAGAAAGTCTCCTCCGGCTGAAGCGCGGCCGGACCAAATGATTCCTCTCCGTGGGCCGGTGCCGCGCGGTGTCCCGCCGGTGTCCCGCCTCCTGCTGAGGCGCGGCCGGACCACATGTTTCCTTTCCGGGGGCCGGTGCCGCGCGGTGTCCCGCCGATGTCCCGCCGGTGTCCTGTCGGTGTCCCGATGATGATGATGATGATGATGATGATGATGATGATGATGATGATGATGATGATGATGATGATGATGATGATGATGATGTCGATGATGTTGATGATGATGATGGTGATGGTGGTGATGATGATGGTGTCCCGATGATGATGATGATGTTGACGATGTTGATGATAATGATGGTGATG